CTAAGCTCTGCCCTTCCGGGCGCGTCTGCGGCTCCTCCTTGAGCGGCTGGACCCGAGAGAGCTCCGGCTGCGGCGGGGCTGCCCCCAAGTGATGCGACGGAGGAGGCGGGAAAGGGACAGTGTCTGTGGAGTAGTTGACGGTGGTTTCCAGCGGCCCGCTGCCGTAACTGTTCAAGTTTGTGTACACCGGTAGATCCGGCTGCACGGAGACCGGGGCGATGTTCGCGCCCAGGTCCAGGCTGCTGTTCGTCTGCGCGGCTCCGCTCAGCTGGTTCTGCTTGTGCAGGTCCTCCAGCGCCTTCACGAAGCCCTCGGCGAACTCCTGCTCGTCCGTCACCGTCTTCGGGTAGAGGAACTGGGAGCTGGTGGGCGTCGTGGTCACCATCCCGTTGGACTGGATGATGAGCCGCTCCAGCTCCGGGGAGGCCAGCTTGAGGAGGCCCAGGTCCGGGGAGCTGAGGATGCTCTCGGCGTCGCGGAGATGCGGTTTGAGGTCCGCCTCGTCCGCCAGGCTCAAGTTAATATCCTTCTTCATCATTATTTCCGTGTTAAAAAAAAAGGACAACTCGATCTCCCTCAGCACGGAGCCCGGCCCATAACCTCACAGAACCGGACCGTAGTGACGAATATCCGCTGTTTTTATATTTAACGTTGCTACTCTCAACCGCTCCGACCGTTGGTCGTCCGTTGGTCGTCCGTTGCAGAGCTCGGATCTGACTGTACTGGCTGCCCGCGCGCACCGCCGCCAGCTTTTCTAGTCTCGCACGTTCCATTATGTCACAGCAGTGTGCGCGCGCATTGGGCAGAAATGAACGTTTTCCAGACTTTTATTTTGATATTTAAAAAAAAAAAAAGAGAGAGAGAGAGAGAGGAGGAGATGAGGGAGACGTCTCACCCTGCGCAGCTTTCTGTGTCCTAGAAACAGAAGGCAGTGCCCATAATGAGGGCATATTGTTCATAATCAGTTGTTAGGAGGGTTATTTTATAAATGTAATCCAATATAATTACTAATTACCTGGTAAAATATATAGTGAGTAACCTAATCCAAGTATGACTATATTAAAGTAACATCATTTGACTACCTTACGTTACTTTTGGATTATCTCAACATCAAATATGTAAATAAAAAGAAAGTAAATGTCAATAAAATGTATTGATGTAAGTGTATTTTGTTCTAACTCACTTCTCAACAGAGCAATAAAACCTAAAATGGAAATGAAAAGATTTTCAGCATCAAGAAACACTGATGCATTTTAATCCTGCTAAATAATCCCAATTTTTACTAGCCTAAATGTAACTGTAATCTGATTACGTCTGTTTTTAACTGTTATGGATTACAGTTACCCTTTTTTGTATCCTGATTATGTTACATGTAATCTTTCTCGAAAAGTATTTGTATATTATGTCCATTCATATCTAAGGTAAATGAATATTTTTTAACACTGGAACTGTTTTTTTATTTATTTATTTTGCCTTACCTTGTTTTTGTTTTTTCATTTAGTACATAAAGGACATTCTGTATGTAAATGTTGGGCTATAAAAAATGTAATTAGTTGACACACAATCAAAAACACAATGTACCAATAAAATAACTGAAGCGTTATTTTTCAGGAAGTCCATGAATGACCATCCAACACCTTGTTAAAGTCCTTGGGTTTTTCTTTTATTGCAAATGTTTTTCCACAGAAAGAAAAACTTGATTTTCCTTTTCACCCACCGGCTTTTTTTGTGGGTTTTTCCCAAAACAAAGCAACTATAAATGGCACTCACAGGGATAATAAAATATAACATATTTTTTACATACAGTTTGAACACAAAGGAAATATAACTTTCCAAATATGATGGATCTATGATATGTAAGAAGTTGTTGAAAAGGTAATATTTGATAAACTAGTGTTTCATAGGTCAAGAAGGAACTTTCACTCTCTATGGAGTGATTCATTGTCTCAATAGATGATCTTTGGTACCAGCTCTATTGCCATGGAGAGGAGGGAGAAACTACAAACACTGAGCTGGTACATTGAGGTTTGATGTCATGGTGAGTATTGTTTCTTGTTTACATGTAAATATTCACAAATATTACATATATATATGAATTTTATTTCAAAATTAGAACAGAATGATTATTGCTAAACTGCAGGAAACAGACATTTCAGCTTGCATAATTCTGGAGAAAAGTTAATGTCTTACTGCTGACTTCTGTTTTATGTTCTCACACTTGTCGTATTTCTGCACAACAGAATTAGGAGAAGTTGAATCTGAAACTAATCTGATTTCAACACTTCCTCTGGTCAGTTAACAGTTTTTTAAAGTTGTTTTTGGGTTGGACCTCGTCTCACGCTCATCACACACTTCGACAGAAAAAGGCAAATGATAATGTCAAGTATAGTTTCCGTGACAGATATTTCCAATTTCACTTTCCATTTTTATTTAAACATATATCCAGATATTCTAATTAGAGTATTTTAATTGCCCTATTTAATATTAATGTCTTGATTAACTAGTAGAGGTAAAATATTGCCACTGTCTCTTTTAAGTAATAATAATAATAATAATAATAATAATAATAATAATAATAATAATACATTTTATTTTATAATGCCCTTTTCATCAGAAG